CAGCGCGCCCAGGTTGCGCAGCAGGCTGGCGAAGGGGGTGGTGTCCAGGTGCACCCAGTCCGGGCGCGCGCACCAGCGGCGCGCCTTGGCCAGCGTCCAGAGCAGGTCGACGCCGAGCAGGCGCAGCAGCGCGTACAGCCCCAGCGCGAAGGCCAGCAGGAAGGCGGTGACGGCCAGGTAGCGCCGCAGGCTGGCGCTGTAGATGGCGCGGACGTGCTGGAAGCTCTCGGCCACCACCATGCCTGGCGGCACAGGAGGCGGCCGTGGGTGCCCCGCGCAAGCGGGCCCGGCCCCGGCCGCGCCAGCGCCCGGCGCTCACCTGAGATGACCCCGGCCACCACCTGGTGCGGGAAGTGGGCGGCGATGAAGACGCGGGACAGGCAGACACAGACCTGCACGGCCCAGAAGCCCGTCCACAGCACCGTCCACAGGAGCCTGCGGAACCCAGCGGCCGCGTTGGGCGCTGCCTGGCGCTGCCCGGCCCTGAGAGCACCCCGGGCGCCCGGTGCCCCGGCCCCACGCGGGGGACCCGGCCCGCGGCTCACCAGTACTTGAGCGTCTTCGCCTGCCGCTCCCCCGCGGCGAGGGAGAGCAGGGCGGTCACCATGACGTAGTAGACGCCGGCGGCGCCCATGGCGTGGCCCGAGGGGCTCCCTGCGCGAGAGGCGGGTGCTGGGTGAGACCCCCGCGCTCCGGAGCAATAGCCACAGGCAGCCCCGTGGCGGGTCTGTGGCACAGGGAGGCGCAGAGCATGGCACAGGGCTGCAGCGCACGAGGTTGCAGCGCATGGGACTGCAGCGCATGGGGCTGCAGCGCATGGGACTGCAGCGCTGCAGGACGCAGGGCTCCAGGGGCGACGCAGGCTGCAGCCCACGCGCGGGGCGGAGGCTGGGGCTGGCGAGCACGGAGCACGCAGGGTGCACGAGCGCAGCCCCGAGCGCCGCGGCCAAAGTGCAGCCGGGGCACCCAGGGGCTCCGGGCCGGCCGCGGGGCCGCGGTCAAGGTCCCCGCACGCCGCCGCGGGGCTCCTACCAGGGCCGGTCTCGCAGGTGAGCGGGAACTGCTGGATGTGCGGCGCCGACGCGTTGCCATAATAGTCCGTCTCGTGCACCCACCAGTAGGGCCTCTCCCCGAAGAGCAGCCTGCGGGGAAGGCGGGAGCAGGGCCGTGCTGCAGCGGGCGCGCGCACGGTGCCCACCCCAGGCAGCCCCGGCAGCGGGCGGCGCGGGGCATCCCTCAGGCAGTGGCAGTGCCAGCAGCGAGGGGCACGGCGCGTCCCGGTGCACCCCGCCGGTGCCACCCGCCCTGTCCCTGCGCCAGGAGCACCCACCACTTGAAGACAAGGTTGAGCCAGTCGCCGATGACAGCAACCCAGAGCAGCCGGATGCCCACGGGCTGGCAGAAGTGGAACCAGAGCGGGAAGAGGACGAAGAAGGTGTTGCGGAGGTCGGCGGCGAAGGAGACGAAGAGGAACCAGTCCTGGGCACCCTGGAAGTGCTGCTGCAGCTGCTGCGTGGCCCGCACGCCCGCGTCGTGCAGCAGGTCCATGCCCGCCTGCATCCTCGCCGCACGGCCCCGCTCCGCTGCCCACGCCGACGGCGCCGCTGCTTTATACCCGGTGGCTCTTGTTTGTCACTGCAGGTCGCTCGTCCCCGCGCCGATCTTTGGACCCAGAGCCACTTTTGCCAAAGGTGCCTCGCCGGGGGGTTGTTACAAACACGCTGGGAACAACTTACGTAAAAGGGGAAGACACAGGGGGAAGCAGAGCGGAGCGGTGCCCGCGGCCCCCTTAACCCTTCGCCACCCGCCGCTCCCGTGCGGCCAAGGGCAGAGCAGCGGGAGCCGGGACGGAGCACGGGGAGCTGCTGGGAAAGGTGGTGACGGGATGCGGGGAGCTGGAAGGCAGGGAAGGGAGACGGGACCGGCCGCCCGGGTGGCTGAGAGCCAGCAGGGAGGCGGGTGCTGTTGGTCCTGGTGCTGCATCGCGTTGGTGGTGGTGGAGCATCCTCAGAGTGCGCTATAGGGTGATGGAGCATCCTCACGATGTGCCAGGCTGGTGACAGAGCATCCCTGTGCCAGGTTAGCTGGTGACAGAGCATCCCTGTGCCAGGCTGGTAGCAGAGCATCCTCGTGCCGCGCTGGCTGGTGACAGGGCATCCCTGTGCCAGGCTGGTGACGGAGCATCCTCGTGCTGTGCCAGGCTGGTGACAGAGCATCCTTGTGCCGCACTGGTTGGTGACAGGGCATCCCTGTGCCAGGCTGGTGACAGAGCATCCTCGTGCCGCGCTGGCTGGCCCGGGCCAGGCCCTGGAGCTGCCACGTGTGGTGGCGCCTCCGCGGTGCTTGGGGCAGCTCCTGCCCTGGTGCCTCCAGCGAAGGAGCTGCCGGGGTGCCCCGAGCCTGGCGCTTCGGGCACTGCCAGGCTGTGGGCGAGCCCCGAGCCTTCCCCAGGGATTCCGCAGCGCGAGGCTGTCCCGGGCAGGACACATGTCCCAGCACTGCACACGCGGCCGGAGGGATCCAGGCCAGGGGCTGTGGGCACCTGGCTGGCTTTGCCAGGCAGCTGCCAAGGCCGGGCCAGGCTGGCACGTCGAGAGCCGCGTCTGGCCCCTCTGCCCCCACGCAGGGTCCTGGAGCTGCCCGGGGCGCCAGGCCCGGGGCGCTGCCCCGCGGCAGCAGCACTGACACCAGGCGAGAGAGCAGGGGCAAATCACCCGGGGCCCGTTTATTGCGACAGCGGCGGCCGCTGCCCCAGCGCCAAGCCCCGGGGTGGCAGCAGGAGCCGCGGGTGGCCGCAGGGGCTGGGGGGCCGGCGTAGGGGCCGGTGCTGCCGCGGAGCGGAGCCCCCTGCCCCACAGCCCTGGTCCTGATGAGCGGGGAGGAGGGGGACGGGGCTGCGGAGGGCAGGGCTGCAG